CACAGTTCCCACACTTGCAGTTAAGTGCCTGTACTAAGCTTGCATGCTGACTGTTCTCTCCAGAAGCCCTGCCGGTTGGATTCCATGACCACCAAGACAGTGAGCAACATCAGTAGCATTAGATGCTACCCGGAGTTGGTCTTTCCTGATCGAATGTTAGCAAGACCATGGCAAGGACAGTTAGCAGAATCATGGCTACTTTCTTTACCACTGTATCTACAGCGAGCCCAGAGCTTGGCACCAACCAGGAGCGAAATAAATACTAGATAATGAATAGGATTACTAATCCGATTCTCCTTACACAAACTCCTCCATTCTAAGGCTTTTGTGTTTCTCTTCCTAATTGGATGACCCCTCTTGCTCTGCCTCCTCTTCCTCTGGGAGTTATCATCAACTGATCGATCTGTTCATTACTGAAGCACTATGGGAGATAGAGAAAAAATTGACATTGGGGTGCTTACATTTTATTTGTGGGAAAAAAATGAAAATAAATGAATAATGAAATCACAAATAATATAATAGTGTAATAGTTATGAGGCAGATTGGAGCCAGACTACATGGGAACTGAACCTCTCTGGGTTTTAGTTTCCTTGTCTATAAAATGGAGACAGTGGTAGTTCCTACCTCATGAGGTTGTTGTGAAGGTTATTTAATACATTTGAAGTTCTTCAAAGAGGGTCTGTTATATTTTAAGTGCTCAAAAAATGCTTTAAAAAACACAAGGTAATATATGAATCATTGTAAGTGCTGTAGAAAGTCTCTTAAAGAATTTTTATTTCCCAATGAGAACTAATCAATTCTCAAAACCTCCTTTTCAGATATCCTTTCCAGATTTTTCTTTATCATTTTGACTTATCACTTGATTGTACCAGGGCTACTAAGCCTTCCAGGACATTTAAGATACCTGAGAAAGGGAGAACTGAGGAACCAGCACCAACCAGCAGTCAGATACGTGGGTGAGGCCGTGTCCTTGCGATCCAGCCTACCCCGGAGCTGGCTGTGGCAACGTGGGAGAGCCCGGCGAGACCCTCAGAAGAAGCGGAAGAACTCACCACACCAGCCCACAGATGGTGAGTAACAATAAATAATAAAATTTGCTATGTTAAGCCACTAAGTGGTAAGGTGGTTTGTTTCACCGCAAAACATAACTGAAATACCACTTTTAATTTTGGTACCAGAGGTAGACATGCTAACATTTGAATATTACAAATCTAGGTATTGAGTATTTATACATAGCTATTTGCATTTTTAAAAACTCAAAGTAGGAGTTTTTAAAAGTAGCTTTTCTCCCCCATTTACCATATTTTGAATTTTTGTATGAGTAATTATATATCGACACTATTATTTTTGGTGGTTGCATTTTACATCACGATTTATTAATGAGTCCCTTACCAATAAACAGTTTGCTTCTAATTTTTTGCCACCATTAAGAAATGTTTGACAGACATCTTTGAACATATACCTCTTTGGACACAGCAAAGGTTACTTCCTCAGGACTATTTACTGTATATGGAATTACTAGCTTGAAGATTTGCCTGTTTTCAAGGTTTTGATTAAATGTCATCTAATTGCTCTTCAGAAAGGTTGTTTACATTCTTAGGGTGAATGAGTCAGAACTCTCTTTTGCCTGCACTTTTACCAACAGTGGTTTTTTTTTTCTTAATCTTTGTTGATCTAATGGATAAGAAACTATGATCTCATTACTGTTTTAATTTTGTTATTACTATTGGGGATGAGTGTATTTTTATGTACAGTAGGCATGTGTGTCTTCTCTAAAATTCGTATTCATTCTTTGCTCATTTTTCCACTGTTATCTTTTTCTTATAGATTTGTGAATAATACAGTTATTAATGCTTTGGTACATATATATTTAAATATTTTTCTCTTATTTCCCTCTAAGAGAAGATTTCCCTCAGATTTTAGGGTTTAGGTGGACTTTTTTTAATACACAAACAAATCTGCTTATTTTATTTATTTAATCTCTGAGGCTGGTGTTATCAAATTTATTGTTTAAAAGATAGCGAAGTTTAAATAGTTTCAGAGAGTGTCAGATGTTATCCAAGTAAAATCCAGACCCCTTGGTTTATGTCACACACCACATTCTATTCTACCCATATTTAGCCAGATTAATCTCCCACAATTTCTAACTGCAAATTCTCTATTCTTGTGAGTTTAGTTTCTGGTATGTGCAGCTTGTGAGCTCTGGAGTCTGACAGACTTGAGTTAGGATTCTGACTCAAACACTCAGCAACAGTATGAGGAGAGCTTTTAGAGCTTTAGCTTCTTCATAGTTAAGTGGAGACAGGATTAATGGAAGATTAAATTAGTGCCTGAAATATAGTTGGCACTTAATAAATCTTAGTTTCCCAGCCACACCCCCATGTTTCTGCTCCTGCTGGGACATGTCTCTGAAATACTGTCCACTTCTCGCAATATTTTTCCTATTCTTCTGGCCCACTTCTACCCAGAGTCCTTCACAGAGACTTTCAGAGAACAGGGAGTTTACCATACACCTTCCTCAGCTCAGGTGCCTTAAATTTGTAATGTGTCAGATGTAGTTAATCAGTCACATTATAAGCTTCAGGAAGGCCTGGCCCAGTGCTTGGCACTTAAATGTACCCAATAAGCATTAGTGGAATGTATAAATACATGAATAAAGAATGCATGAGATTTAACTGCAAGGTAATAACACTAGTTAACAAATTGCACTTAAAAATTAGCCTAGGTATTATTCCAGACACGTAATTGGTGATAAATGCAAATTTGTTTAGTAAATGTAGCCATAATTGGTATCTCACCTCTGTATCATACCACTGAATATTTTAATAGTTCAATATGTCACTGGTGGAAATGGGTGAAAGTGGTCAAAAGGTGCAAACTTCCAGTTAAAGAAAAATAAGTTTTGGGATGTAACGCACAGCATGGTGATCACAGTTAACAACACTGTATTGTATATTTGAAAGTAGCAAAGAAAGCAGATGATAAAAGTTCTCATCACAAAAAAAAAGTTTGTAAACATGCCAGATGATGGATGTTAACTGAACTTATTGTGGTAATGATTTCACAACATACATATACCAAATCATTGTTGTACATCTTAAACTACTGCCATGTTGTATGTCAATTATATCAATAAAACTAGGAAGAAATTAAAATTTTTTAATTAGAAAATAAAATAAAAAATACATACCATCAGAATATACCGGCAGAATTTATCAATCCTAATAGTTCAATATACGGTATTTCTCCAAGTCTAAGAAGCAGTTTGTCTCACATTGTAACATTTCTGAAACTGGAATGTGTCTTACTATTAAAGAAATAGCCACTGGCCAAGTAGCAATCAAGATATAGTAGGCATTGCCTCTGCTTTTGTGAACATGGTTTTAACTGTTCAAATTGTCATCAGTTCACAGAGTTCTATACAATTTAAAACTATATGTGTCAAAGCCATATGGTAAGAAATGCAGTTGAAGGCAGGAGAAATTGCCAGATGTGTCAGATTAGATGAAAGAAATTCCAAAGCAACAAGGGACTGAACCAATTCATGCATCACATGAGACCATAGTGAAGGCATGAAACTTCCTTCTGGCCATAATAGAGAGGCTGTGTAGGTTGTAGTGATGTATGATTAAGTTGAATAAGAAAACTATGCTTTTAGTTGAAGAGGGTTATACCAGCATCAAACTTGTCGAATGAGTGTCTGGCTGGGAAGCAAATCCCAGAGACAAGGCTAGGGAATGCCACGCTACCCATGAACCTGTCGGGGAGAAATGCACACCTTGATGCTCTGTGCAAAAAGGGATTCAGAAGAATTAGACTTTGTAGAATTTGTAGAATCTAAAAATCTACAGAATTTGTAGAAATACTTTAATAATTTTTAAACTTCTTTTGCTTGTATTTTCCTTTTCTATAGATACACATTACTGAAAAATCTATATTGAAGTCTTTTAAAAAGCACCATTTTATTAAGTATTGAAAAAATCGTGTATGATAACACATTGTGTCATGGTTTAATTGGCAGCCTTTTTTCTTTCTTGTTGGTACATACAAAGATGTCCTACGTTTGAACAGATAGGATAAATTGAATGGCAGCTAAAATGGGCAGCAAGTCTGAATTTCCAAGCTTCCCTTACTGAAGGAACAGAGCATGGTGTTTTGTCGCTGTTGTTTTGGTGGGTATTTTGTTGTTGCTTAGGAATGTGATAGGAAGATCTTCACAATCATTAGATACATTTGTTTGCAGAACCAGTATAATTTGAAAAGAAGCTAGCTTCTCACACCACCATTCACAACTTACTAACATGTTTCACAGTTTGCATTCTGAATTAGGTGACACTTCATTTGTCCTCAGCTAAGCACTTTAAAAATTAATTATATTTTCCAATATAAAAGTAGTATGTATTCGTATGGGAAATGTCCTATATTAAAAAGTGGGTAGGTATGAGTATGGAATCAGCCATATTTCTTTGAACTAAACTATTTGGAAAATTTCATTTTTTAGAAAAATTTCTTATAAACCCTCCTCCAAGCTGGCTGTATGTATCCCTCCGGAAATACTCTAGGCATAAACAAGCAAATCTGTCAGTCTACAAGATATTTTAAGCAGGGGAGCAGGGCATCGGATCTGTGTTTTAATACCACGCGAATGCTGAGAGGCACCTGGGTTTCTGCGCTCAGAGCTACGCGCTCCAGCTCACGCATTTCACAAACCCTCGTCTGCCCGGCTTTCTGGTTTCTACAGGGAAGATCCCCCGGGGGCCCAGAGTTTCGTAAATTACGTCTGGGCAGAGCTCCCACGCTGGTTCCCACGATGTACTCCCGGCAACGACCCTGTGCGCCGGCGGCTCCAACGCCGCCCCCAGCCCGCAGCTCGCCGCCCGGAAGCCGGGAGTTCGGCACCCAGCCCAGGTGTGCCGGTGTGTTCAACAGAGACTGAGGCGGAAAAGCGGCAGCTCCCGGATGACTGCGATAGAGGCGGGCCCGGGCGTGGCCAAGGCTAAGGGCGGAGTCAAGATTGGGGGCGGAGCCGACGCCTCGGTCCGCTGCAGAGCTCTCCAGAGCTCCCGCCGCTGCGATTCGATCCCGGACCCGGGCCACCCACGGGGAGGTGGGCGCTCTTTGGCCCTGGGCTCTGAAAAGCCCTGAAGGTAAATCCGCCTGGGAGCTGGGCAGCTAGAGCTCTAGGGGATCAACGATCGGGGCGGGCGGCTGGATGGCGGCGGAGGGGAGCGTCCTGCGGCGAGTTTCCCAAGAAAGCTGAACTCGTCCCAAGTTTCTTGTGCATCGGTTTCCACCCGGTGAATTGGTGGCTGTCTCTTTCCGTGCGGGTGGTCTTTAGGCGCGGGAGAGACGCTAAGGGGATTGGATTAATCCGCCTGAGCGCAGCCAGATTTTGTCTGGGACAGTTGCGTGCGGCGAGCACAGTTTTTGCCTGAGAAAGGGGCCGGTAAGTGACACGCAGTTGTGTCTCGCGTCTCAGGCGGGTGATCCCCGGGCTCAGAGGGCGCGCGTCTGCAAGGCGCGCCTGGAGGCAAAGTTCCATGACTTCTTTCCTCTTTAGGCAAGACTGACTGGATGCTGTATCCCCCGGGGCTGACCCCCGAGGCTCTACTATGGACGGCGACAGCGAAGTGGATTTTTCCAGCAACAGTTTAACCCCTTTGTGGCGAAGGCGGTCAACCCCTCAGCCCCAGCTGCTGGGCCGAAGCAAGCCGCGGCCCCAGTCCTACCAGAGCCCCAGCGGGTTGCTGATCACGGATTTCCCGGTGGAGGATCTAGGGACGCTCCCCGCGGCTCAGACTCCTGCCCAGGTGCCCACTGCCTCCGACGGCAGGACGGTCCAGAGAAGCCCACTGCTTCTGTGCGCCCACCGAGGGGCAATAACCAACGGGAGGACCGTCTCCCCGGAGTACAGAGCTGTCTCTCCTCGGCTCCGACGGCCTAAGTCACCCCAGGTCCCCAAAGCGGCGTCGGGTGGCTCCCCTAAATCTACAGCCAACGGCACGGTGACCTCGCCTGCGCCGCAGCTGCTGCACCCACTGCGGACTCAAGCGCCCGCCCCCTGCAGCCCCGAGGGGAACACAGCCGGATTCCCCGCCAGCCCCCTGCCTTCGCCTACTACAAATGGGCTTACCCCTTACATTGCCTCCTCAGGCGCCCGTTCGCTTCCCGGCCAGGTGGCTAAGGACCCTGAGCGGGGACCCTCAAGACTTTCTCCTGTGCCCCAGAACAGGTCTTTGGAACAAAAACTACCCCTCCAAAGGCTGCCCTCACAGGAGAACGAGCTCCCGGAGAATCCTTCAGTGGTTTTGAGCACAAACAGCCCCGCCGCCCTCAAAGTGGGGAAGCAGCAGATCATTCCGAAGAGCCTGGCCTCGGAGACTAAAATAAGTAAATCCAACAGTCAGAACGTGGAGCCTCACAAGAGGCTGCTCAAGGTGCGCAGCATGGTGGAGGGTCTTGGAGCGCCCCTGGGCCCCGCAGAGGACGAGGGCGAGGCGGAGAACGATGTGGACAGCCCGGGGTCTCTGCGGAGAGGTTTGCGGTCCACGTCGTATCGCAGGGCAGTGGTCAGTGGCGTTGATTTTGACAGTCCTACCACCTCGAAGAAGAAGAACAGAATGTCCCAGCCTGTTCTGAAAGCAGTGATGGAAGACAAGGAGAAGTTTTCCAGCCTGGGGAGGATAAAGGTAAGAGTGGGCAAGAATGTCGTCAAGTCACTCTCTAAGCTGGGCATTCACTAAGCCGCAAATGAAGGTGTTGGGGGTGGGGAGGAGGGGCATAAAGGAAACCCGAAGTTACTTTTCTTTTTAAATTATATTGTTTGGGAGGGAGGGTATAGCTCAAGTGGTAGAGCGCGTGCTTAGCATGCACAAGGTGCTAGGCTCAATCCCCAGTACCGCCTCCAAAAATAAATAAATAAACCTAATTATACCCCTCCCCCCAAAACAACCCTATAAATTATATTGTTTGGTTATCAGAGCCGTGCACATTTCTCTTTGCCATTCTGTTGCTAGCAGGGAGGAACTTTATGGGAGGATCTGAAACCCTTATCACTGTTTAAACTTTCTAAGGTGGGGCAAAATGTGGGGGACAAAGGGGGAAAAATACAGCAAATTAAGTATTGGCTGAGTGAGTCCTGAACACTTTTAATACAGGTGGTTGAAAAGGGAGTGGTGGGCAGGCAGGGTTCTGCCCTCTTGACTGTGGTCACCTGAGGCTTGTTTAGAAGTGTCAGTCATTGGTTGTTGCTGATTCATCACAGCTGATAAAGGAAAACACTGATTTCCTTTGAGCCTATTGATTATTTATGTTAAGTGTTTAATTACTGAATTTCTTTCAGTGGTGATCACGTACTATATACCATTCAGGTAAAGGGTAAATTTCAAGTCAATTGATGGAATCACAAAAGATACAAATAATTTGTCATGTTTGTGGTTGCTCATTTCTGTCACCACTGCTTAGTATCTTATTCCTATTTTGTGGCCACTTAATCCTTGAGTACATTTAACAAGTTGGTAGCTCAAAACTTCAGGTTTGAGTGAACGATGGGGTGTTGCTCCCAGATAAAAGCCTAGGAGCTGACATGGTTGAAATATTACCAAATATGACATAAAGAAATAGGAAAACTAGAGGAGATTTTGGAGCGTGCATGTATTACCTTTTCCAGACACAAGACAGATCTCAGCAACAGGGCAGATACTCATTTTGGCACATCTTTTCTTGATTAATTGGAGAACTGGAACCAGTCTGTATAAACCTCGCATGTGTAATACACAAGCAAGCCTGTTTTATTTTAGATCCTATGGCCTTAAAGAAATTACATAACATTTTATGTGTCCTGTCCCCCACCTCCCCAACTCTGTGAGTATACCAGAGTTCCATTTAACAATGACGGTGGGTGAATCATGAATAGTGAAGTAAGCTGGACTACTGGTCATTTGAGGATTCTCAAGCTGTCTTGACAGAGTGTAGGGGACATTGTATGTTACATTTCACCTTTTTAGTGAATTGTTAGTCATCTGAGTAAACTACTCAGGGATCATTTGCTATGTGTTTTTGGGACTCTAATGAAAGTAACAACAAAAAAATTACTTTTTCTTAAGATAGCTGTTATTTTCTGTTTGGCTCATTCATACATAGTTTGCTTTGCTTTTCCCCCTTATTTTTTGCTTTTCTTGTTTCTTAGAAAAAAATGCTGAAAGGACAAGGAACATTTGATGGGGAAGGTAAGCACTTGATTTTCCAGACTTTTATTGCTGTTTCAATGTGGAATATCAATTATAAGTTGAAATCCAACTGAAGTAACAAAAACACAAGGGGAGAAAAATGTACAACTTCTTCCCAAATTATATAGTGCAAAGCTCTGCGCTAAGCTCAGTTTTCATCTAGTGATACCAGCAGTGAATGAAATTAATGGCATTCCTTGTAAGCAGATGACTTTGTCAGACACGTGTTCTGGGATTTTTAATTCTTCTCTACTCTGGCTCTGTCGCGACTTCCCACAAAAAAATGGAGTAAGAGGGAGCTCTGGCTCTTCAGTTAAAAATTCTGCGAGTTTGGCATTTAGATCTTAAGTCATATTTCCTTAGACTTAATATTCTTTTCCTAGTATTTTCTGCATTTTGATATCATTTGTGACTTCCTGTTTCTGAATCAAGTTTCAATTTGGGGGAAATCTAACTCTGGCTGACAGAAACATAGTCCTCTAAGAACTTGGAACCCATGCAGTATTTTTGTGACGGATCTTAACACACAAGCAGCTTCCACCAGGTGTTCAAACCCTAATCAGATTAGTGGACTTTGTGTAAGTAGATGGATTCAGTGTCAATGTACTGGACGAGCATGAAGGGAGAAGGCCCAGCTGCAGCCCTAGTTGGGCTGGAAAAGCGTGGTGGAGGTGAGGGTAGTTACTTTCTTTCATGCTCTGAAATGCTAAGATTTTAAAGAATCATGAAGAAGGGTATGCCTCTCTGTAAGTAAATCTAACATGTAACCACCCAGAATTATATCACGTTGGGTGACTGCAAACATTTCCCCATATAATTTCATAAAAATCAGTTCCCATTGGATCATTCAAACATGACCAATTTCTAAAAATGTACTTATTGTACCAATCTTAGAAAACTGTTCTCTATGGAGAAGAAACTCAGGTGTAGATTTTTAGCTGATAGGAATAAATTCATCTTCCTGATTTTTATAACTGAGGAATCTGGAAGCTCTGAGAGGTTTGGTACCTTGTCCACTGTCATATAGCCAGTACTGAGACAGAGATCTTGTTCTCAGTCCAGTTTGCTTCCTCTTGTACCACGTTGTGACCATGAATTGAGCAGGGTCTCTACCTAATATCAATTTTGAGAGACATTTTGCATCTTTTAGAATTTGATGTTGATTTGGAGACTTTTGCCTCAAAGGGTTAAAAATGTTAAGCTTTTTTTTTTTTTAAGTCAGGGGACAGACCTTCATTATGGCTAGTTTTAAGTTGTTTCCTTTTATAAGGAGCTGTTTCTTTGCACCCTCTCTTCTCAAAAATGATGACCTAGAAATTCTTTTTCACATATATGTGCATGAGGAATGCAGGATTCTTACAGTTAATGACTGAGAAGAATGTAACTCAGAAAGCTGTGTGGTAGACAGGTGAGAACCTATGATATTAGAACCAGGAATCTGGGTTCCTATTCTATTGCTTCTACTCACCAGTTGAGTGATGTTGAGCAAGCATCTTAACTTCACTGAGCCTCAGATTCATCCTGGGTAAAATGAAGCTGATTATTTGAGAATGAGACATCATATCAACAATGGATGTGTATATTTTGTGCTAAACACTGAGTACTTTGAAGGCCACTACAGAGATGGGGGACACTCAGTCTGTACCCTCAGAATCTGCTTTACACGTGCTGAGCAATCAGAGAACAGTGAGATCCTGCACAGACTGCGGTGTTACTTAGTGATCATGCATGCAGCGCATGGAGTAGTTGATGAGAGATGAGGCAGATGCTTGCTGGCCTCAGTAGATGGGAAAAGCATTTCGAACTTACTATGTCCCAAACCAAATTCACAGTCTTTCCACTAAAGCTGAATCTCTTCTGGAGTTCTCTTTTTCCACTTTTCAGTTATGGTACTTAGCTAAGAAATGTCCTTCCCACCATATCCAGTCTGACCCATATCCAGTCCATCCCCAGTCCTTTCTAAGTTGCATAGCCCAAGTCTCCATTGTCTTTCATTGACCACTTCAGTAGCATCCTAACTAGTCCCCTAAGTTGTTAATGTTTTTCTCTTCCAATCTAATAAAGTCTTTCCTTTCAGTGGATTCCCATTACAATCAGGATAAAATATAATCTTTACAATATGAAAGGACCTCAGTCCTGTGTACAAAATATTCAGGATAAAATCCAGTTCTTTACCACTGCTTGCAAAGCTCTGCTTGACTTGGACTGTCTGGCTCTTCTCCCTAAACTTATCCTGCACCCTTTGACCACTAGACACCCATGCTCCAGTACATGACCTTCCTTTATTCCTCTAGGGTAATATATTTCCTCCTGCTGCAGGGCTTTTCTGCATGGGCTTTTTTTTTTTTTAGCTCTGTAATTTCTCAGCTTTCAGATCTTAAGATTTTTCCTCTCTGATCCCCCAGACTAGATCGTATCCTTCTGACAGTCAGTTCTCAGAGCACCTGTATATAAATCTCTCGGTGTGTAGGTATGTTATTTGTGCAAGATCACTGTGTCCTCAACCCTACAGTGACATGCCTTCGCACTTGGAGTAAAAACCAAAGTCTTTTCAGTGGCATTGAGACAAGACCGTGCATGGTCTGTCCTCTCTTTATCACCCACCGCTATCTCCTGTACTCTCTCCCCTCCCTTAACCTGTTCCAGCCACACCGGATTCCTTGCTGATCTTGTTCATGTGGATGCACCAAGCAGACTCCTGCCCCAGGGCCTTTGTATTTGCTGTTCTCTAGGATGGGATGTTTTTTTTTTTCTAGGGGATTTCACTGGTTTATTTGTTTGTTTTATTGCAGTATAGTTGGTCTAAAATGTTGTGTTAATTTCTGGTGTACAGCATAATGATTCGGTTGTATATATGTATTCCTTTTCATATTCTTTTTCATTACAGGCTATTATTACAAGATATTGAATATGGTTCCCTGTGCTGTAAAGAGGATGAGATATTCTTTCCCCAGCTGGAAAAGTGGCTCACTTTCTCACCTGTCCTTTGCTTAAAAGTCGCCTTAGTGAGGCTTTCCTAAACCACCCTATTTAAAATTTACATACCCTCCTCCTTTCCCTGTTTTATTTTTGTTCTATGCTACTTATCAGCATCTGATGTATTATAAAAGTTACTTGTTTATTGTCATTCTCTCCTCACTCTGGTGTCAGCTCCATGAAGAATGAGATTTTTACATTTTTTGTTCTCTTTGTATCCCCAGTGCCTAGCAGTTGTTAATGCCTAGCAGGCATTTTCTAAATAGCAGTTGAGTGAATAAATGAATGAATGACTTTGACTATTTTTCTCAGTAAATTTTTAGCTCAGAGGAGTGCAAGAAGTAGCTTTTCTTTTCCGTTTACTTGAGCCCTTCTCACATTGTAGATGTACAATTAATGTTTGTTAAATAGATAAATAAAAGGGTGTACATTCAACTTGACCTAAAAAGCAATGATGTAACAGGCATGACCATTCGTCTGTGGGTGGTGGACAGAGATGTGGAAACTTTGCTTCAGTTGGCATTTCATGTGTGGGAACCCCCCTTCCCCTGCAGGCGAATTGGGGACAGAGCTGTGAGAGTGAGAAAATCACTTTTTGGTAATGACTCTTCAGTGACAAAATCCACTTGTCTCTTGTTTATTAAACTGGAGACCAAACATTGTATAGAGAGGGATGTTTATTTAGAACAAGTAGCATTGTGATAGGGAGCAATTAGTGACATGCAGGGTTTGGTTTTCTTGCAGAAAACGCTGTCCTGTATCAGAACTACAAAGAAAAGGCCCTTGACATTGACTCTGATGAAGAGTCGGAGCCCAAAGAACAGAAATCGGATGAAAGAATCGTGATTCACCATAAGCCGCTGAGATCTACGTGGAGTCAGCTCTCAGCGGTGAGTGTATACCTTGTTTTCTATCTGTGGGAGTGAGAAAACTAGGTTGTGAAAATTATGCCTGGATGTGATCTTAATTTTTTCTACCAATGATCCCATAACTCTAAGGAGAAAGACCCTTCTCTTGAGATTGTAAAATAATTCTTGAAACTCTGCTGGCACTGCGCTTTGACAGTTCTGATCAGGAAGAGTTACCAGGTTTTTATAAAATAAAGAGCCTTGAGACTGATGATGTCTTATGGACTCTGGAAACTTCCTACTCAGTATCTTTTTTTGTTTTCTGTATAGTGTATATGTAGTGGTAACTTACTATATCCTGAACTTTATCATAATTTTGGTGATATGTACATGTGTGTACATATATACACATGTGTGTATATGTATCTGTGCACAACAGGGAACTTACAGTTCTTCCTTGGAAATTTCTTTTAATGTAGACACATCTGTATATTCTCGAAGATGGTTAATGAATGGCATTCTGTTCTACCTCCCTGTGTGCATCGTTTGTGTGCTAGTGTCTGACACTTATTTTTTGTTGATGAGCACTTTCTCCTCTCTGCATCAAACATCTTCTGTTTTTAGCCATAATTTCTTTTCCCCGTGGCTTAACAGTGTCACAGTGTGATGCTTAGTTTACTGGATGTGAGTTTGGGTACAGCATTTGTGGGCATCTGATGCATTACCATGTGGAAAGGAATTCCCGTGGCAGGCTTGGGGGAGTGGGAGCATTGTATCAGAAACCAGCCAGGGCACCTTGGTGAGTCCTTCAGCAGTGTGGGAACAGAAGTGGTTCCCTCTTAAGCTGAAGTGAGTATTGTTCAGAGTCAGGAATCTCAGGTATTAAGGGAACCCACCAATGTAAGGAAAGAAGTTGTCTAAGTTGCAGCTCACGAACTTGACCATGGAAGTGGGTGTGTGTTGATGGTGGGGATGACGTCTGGCTTAGACTCTTCCTCTCCTCTTCTGCCCTGTATTGGAATCCAGAATTCTAGAAGTCAAGCCCTTTCTTCCTGTCTTCCTCCCACCCCCTGATTTTGTGCAAAGGATAAGTTATGCATTTCCAGTACCCCCCAAGGTGTGGCACCCTTCATGTTATGCCACAGATTAAAATGCCTGCAGGGGCAGGGCACGTAGTGTTAAAAGTGATGCCAGTGAGTGTGGGTGACGGGGAAGTGGGGACTGGGGTGCACAGGCCTGGTTCATTAACTGGAGCAGCTGCCACTTAGCTGAGACCAGCCCAGTGTTGCCAGATGTTCTGATAGTGAGAAAAGAGTGTACAGAAGTACAGACTTTTACTAATATCATCCTAATTCAAGTTTTAAAAAATGTTGTATGACATTTAACTATGGGCCAGACTTGGCCTCTCTTCTAACAGTTGGCAACTTCTGTGATACTTCTATGAATTTCACACATGGTGGGGATGGTACCATCTCTTCACAGAACTGGCATATTGGTAGCCTTATTCCCTAATCTAGGGATCTTGTGATGTTACACACCAAAGCAGATACCTGGAAAAACTGGCAGAGGCCAACGGTGGCTCTGGTGTTGGTATGGACCATTTGGTAGATGATCCTCAAGAAGAAAACTGTGGCGTTTTTGAGTTCTTTCTCTGTGGAAGCAGCTGCGTTTGTTAGCACAGTACTCAATCCTGCTGTTCTCTGAATGCTAACTTCTGTGTCACTCACAGTTTCTTCCAACTCAGCTTTAGTACCAGAAACCAGGCTGCCATGTGTACGCCTCCTGGAGTTTGGCTTTCCTTTAGATTAAAATAATACTCCATATCCTTCAGTACAACTTCAAATACGGGCGTACGTTTTATTTGGCAAGGGATCAACGTACCGATGTGCCTCTTGTTCACACAATGGATATCAGAAGACTATCCAGTGATTAAATGTAAAACTTTAAAGTGGGTTGTCACTGCAGCATGTGTTATCTCGGATTTGAGTGTTCCCAGGAGGCTTGTGTGTATTTATTGTGTTGCTTGGCAATTACGGTAAATCAATGTGGCGTGATCGGACTTTGCCACTTCATCTCACTTGGGCACCAGCTTGCATTTTCTTTGTGCTTTTTGTGTCCCTGCTTCGCTTTTAAAGCATTTTAATTTTTTATGAAACATATTCGAACATATGGAAAAATTCTAACATAAGTTTGGGTAGTAGATTTCCAGGTACCTGCCACCCAGCTTGAACAAATGTTAACATTTTAACTTTACCGACCGGCGTCTGTTTTTTAAGTCAGGTCCGGTTAACCACTTTACTTTCCAGGCCTTTTCTCCTTTCTGCCTCCCTGCGGGGAATCACCTTCCTGAAGTTGTCTGTCCCTTCCGCGTGAGTTTTCTTTTAATCACTGCCTTCTCTCCCAGCCAAAAATGCAGCTCTGGCTTTTAGGAAAGTTGATGTTTTAGGAGGGAAGGGCAGCCATTATGTTTTTAGAAGCCTAGCAGTTAGTAAATATCCAGGTGGCTGTTAGGACTCCAAAGAGAGAGGCGGCTTTGTGAATTATGAAGAATGTCAGGACGTTTTCCACAAGGGGTTGGCACCTTGCTCTTTCTGTCTGACGTCGTGCCCTGACCCTGCCGTGTAAAGGGTCTGCAGTGTTTAGGGCGGGTCTTGGGAAGCTTCTTTCATAATTTTGCATCATTTTTCCACATTTAACTTTGAATAATACCATGTTAGTAGGGTAGTCCCCATCGAGTCTTTAATACAAAAGTCTTCTTCGAGTAAAGCCTTGGTCCCAGGAAGAGAGTAGGACAAGGGGTTTTCTGGCAAAGGGTTAAGTCTCAATTGCGCATCGACCTTGACTCTGCTAGGGAGGGGTGTGTGCGCGCATTAGCTGCTGTTGGTTGGTTCATTTTCTAAATTTTGTTGCAAACCCCTATCTGCCTCCAGAGACGATGTACCCTTTTTCTCAGTTGACTGTCGGAAGCATTCAGTGTGTGGGGGACACTTCAGAAGAGCAGCAGTTTGCAGTCATTTCTGATTGTTGCATAAGGTCTTGAAGCCTTCAGTCTGTCTGTAATGTGTCTTGGTGTGTTTGTTGATGATGTGTCTCCTGCGGTTTCATTGGACAACCACACAAGTGGCAGGTGGTTCTCCATAGACAGTGTTGGGACAGGTTTCACTGTAGTGTTGTAGTCACCTAGGGGTGAGGGAGAAAGAGCTGTGTAAGAGAGGCATTTAACTGAGCCTTGTTAGGATACTGAAAGTTGGGGCTCCCGCTGGCTTCCCCAGTAAGATTAAAGTGGATTTGTGGTGAAGGGTTGTGTAACACAGGCATGGTGGCGCTGCCCACAGGCTCTCCGTGCAGAGGTGGGGTGCTCTCAGGTGTCATGAGCACGACCAGGGCTCATTAATTTCATCAGGTGGTGCCTGGCTTACTCTTCCTTCAGCTGATTGTCAGAATATAGAGATGTGTTCTTCGTTGGAAATACAGGATTTCTTCATTCCGGGGAACATAACTTGATGCTACTCTTCAGGCCTTGACAGACACTTCAGGCCTTGACAGGCCTTAACATCTGAGAAATAATGGAAACGATCGTGGTTCCCAGGTTTCGGATGGTCATAATTGGAAGGGATTTGAGGTTTCAACCTGAAGTCATTTTTGTCCTCCAGAGACAAAGGAACCTGCCACACACATGCAAGGCCACATATACAGCCACTCACCTAAAATGGCATCGTGAGGGCTAGGCCGTCAGTTCTTGGATCTCTGGGAAAAGCTTGTGGGTTTGAAGGAAAAACTGACTGTGTTACTAGTGTGGGGTAGAACACGAAGCCCTGTTAGGGTGAGTGCAGGTGTGGGCAGCTGCGTCCTCCATGCAGAGTGCACAGTGCGCTCCAGGCTCTCCCAATGCACATCCTTCAGTGGGATCCCGGAAGGATTTACAGCACTACAGAAGATGAGAGAGAAATCTTGACTAGAGTCTTTTCGCTTCTTATCATAACTGGGCCCCTCCCCCCATCACATACTATGCGCTGTACTGAAAAATGACAGTTGCGAAAGCAGTGTTTGTTTTGTTAGGTTCAGTGACAGCACCAAAGCCACACTTGCCAGCCGTGCCCTGACCCTATTTATTTGCTGTGGGGTGTGTTTGTGTAATTTCCATCACCTTGACATGCCAGGTACCTTTGACAAGGGTGTTCGGGCTCCAGAGGCGAAAACAACCATGCAGGCAAACTGTCCACTTGAATTCAACACCTAATATAGTCGATAAACACCTAATATAGCCATCCTCTTACTGCACCCTTCCTTTGTATTGGCTGACATGTGGCTTTATCAGTAACCTTAAATCATTTTGAATATTTCTTCAGTTTGTTCAAAAATTGTAAACTCTTTATTCTGGAACTGGTATTTAAAATATTTTCTTCTTCGGCTGGGCTTAGTGAGGCTCACTAGATTCATATCAAGAACTGAGACTTCAGTGTCTTGAGTTCGGGACTCAGCTCCTGAGGCACTAATGTTTGGCTCTGGTGACTGTCTGGAAATGCCAAATGAGAAAGGATGATTTGAAAAATGGCCATTTTATTATAGATATAATTTCATTCAGTTGAAAATATAACACAGTTTGGAGTCTTAGCCATTCCATCTGGTGGGGCTTATTCTTTTTAGAATTTATACCACGTTTATTTTGAGACATACTGTTTGCCTTCTAAAAAAATCAGAGCTTAACAGATGTAATAAACCTGAATATCATTCTGTTTGCAGAAATGCTTAATGCATTTAGAGGTCATAGAAAATTTCATTCTTTTCTCTTACATTTTCACACTTGTCTGAATTAATTTTCAGTTGTTCAGTGACTTGCTGCTTAAAATAATCTCTTCAGTCATAGAATTTTCTGTTTACGTTTTTGCAACACAGCAGTCTCATGAAGTTTTTTTTTAACCTTAGATGGTGATTAACGTCTTTTATCATTATCTTTTATGTTTAAAAAATAGGAAAAAAAATTCTCGTTTTTCACGTCTGGCTTACTTTTAGTGTTCACAGTGTAAACAGTCAGGGCTTCA